ACCCCAATCTTATCTAAAGGAATATTGACAACTGATTGCTGCTAGATGAGGAACAGCTAATCTTCCTAAAACAAAGACCTCTAGATAGGCTGACTAGATTCACCAGAAGGGCAAGTAGTGGGGAATGGCTGGGGGTGCCAACAACACACCAAATACTTTTATTTACTGAACCATCTTTCTGGGCCATTTCAGAATAAAATTTCACCTTTGGGTTTAAACATACTGCTTATGAAGGAGGCTGAATTTTTGTGACAGACTTGTATTATATGCAAACCATCTGTGTTGGAATATACCTTTTCTCTCAAAGGAGTGTTTGATCCCACCATGTAGGACAACTGAATACCCATAAGGGCTCAGAAAAGAACTGGGACCAACAGGCTGTGTATCTTCAACTCATTGCAGAGTTCTTATCTCTGGTCTTATATTTGTTCTAAGGCTTCTGTAAGTACTCTCTGGATAGTATTCTAGAAATTTGGATTCTTTACTCAAATTCTAGTTTCTTTAGCAAGTCTTTCTTTGAAATAAAACCAAAGGCAAGAGCTGGTCTTAAACATGTTGATCAGAGTATCTAGTTGGGAGGGGGCATGGCTGACTATGGTTTTGCCATACTTTTTATTTTATTTTATATGTCTGAGTGCTTTGCCTGCATATTTTTAAGTCCACCCGTGCATGCAATGCCCCTGGAGAGCAGAAGAGGGTGTCAGACCCTCAGGAACTGGAGTTACAGATCACTAATAGCTGGAAACCAAACCCTGGTCCTCTGTGAGAGCAGCCAGTGCTCTTAACTACTGAGTCATCTCCCAGCCTGACATTGCCATTCTTGAATCTCTTTTCAGTGTGATCCTGTTCGCAGTCTTGGATGATCTGGGTCCTTGAATTCTCTGGAATGACTTCTTGTTTCTCATTTCTAAAACACAAATCTGCATTCCAGGCTCCTCTATGTTAACTTGCGAAGCAAATTCTGTTTAGTAGTAGCACACACCATAATGTTTTTGGTTGAATGTACTGGTAAGAATTTTGAGTGAGTCCTTTACACAGTGGCAAACCTGTCTACCATTTGTAGCTTTCATTATATGTGGTGGTTTGAATGAGAATCCTTATAGGCTCGTGTGTTTGAATATTTGATCCCCAGTTGGTGGCACTGTTTGGGAAGGTTATGGAACCTTTACGGGGTGGAGCCTTGCTGGAGGCAGTATGTCACTGGGGGGTGGGCTTTAAGGTTTTGTTGCCTGGCTTTACTTCCTGTTTGTTTTCTCTGCTTCCTATGTGCCTATGAAAGTGTGATCAGCCAGCTTCCTGCTCCTGTCCCCATGCTTTTCCTGCCTGTTTCCAATTTTCTCCTCCATGGTTGATTCTATCGCTCTAAAACAGTATGCCAACAAACATAAACCCTTTCTTTCCTAACTTGCTTTTTGTCAGGGTATTTTATTATGGCAACAGTAAAGTAACTCCTACATCATATTTTGAGAGTCTAGTTATGTACAAGGATAGACTAGGAGTTGAAACATCTTTTATTGTGGAAAATTTGAATGTGTATAAGAATAATAAATTCAGTTCTCCATTGAGCTCCAGCATTTATGAAGTCAGGACCAATCTAGTTTCATCATCACATCTAACCCGTTCCCTCAGGCCCCTCTCGTATCACATCATTTTATCCTTAAGTCATTCAGTATGTTTCTGTGTGACAAAGAGTCTTTTAAAACATAATCACATAATTATTAATTACAATTTATTAATACCATCAAACATGGTCAGCATTCACCTTTCTATGACTAAATTGTAAGTGTGTGTATCTATCAATGTTTAAATAGCTGTATATTTAACTGGTAGTCTAGGTAAAGCTTATACATAAAGATTAGTTGATTTGCCTGTTAAACTTTTCCTATTAAAAAGTCTTTCCCCTAGACAAACAAACGTATGGTTACACAAATCAGATTGTATCTCCTGCAAAATTTTTCATGGTCTAGAATTTTCTGCCTTTAAAGTCTTAATCACGAAAGCTCTACTTTCTTTTGGACTCATGGTCTCTACTCATCTCTCATTTTCTTAAACTTTGACCAGGAAGCCAGTGTCCCATGTTCACTGAAGACTTTCCTCATGTCTGAGTCTTCCTTTCTGTCATGTGTCAGTTCCACTGAACAAAGTGATAAAGCTTTATCAACTGCGTCCCAGGCATTCTCCTTCCAACATCCAAGGTGACAGAGAACAAGTTCAGGGTCCATATGAGCATTCCATATACTAAACTCACAGTTCCTTGTCGTGTAACTCTGGGCCATATCATCTTACCTCTTCTGTAGTGGAGACTGAGAACATTATGCTTACTGGAACTGCTTCACGTTAGACATTTAAGCTCAACTTTTCAACCTCTTTCATCCATCCAGCTGTTCTGTAACCACAGTTCAGCATCATTTGTTCACAATGAAAGTTCCATTTCTGTCTGTAAGACCTTTCTTATACGTCTCCCTCTTTCAAGAATTACTCCTACCTAACTACACTTAAAATGGCTTTGTGTCTGCCATACTTTCATTGCTCATTTGTATCGCAGGCCAATCCCAAAACCACTTTCCGTGTCTTTCAGAGGTAGGACAAAATCCTACAACACTGCATCAGTATCTTCAAGGAGAGTTTTGATCATTTGAAGTTAATTTCAGGTAGTTCTCCCTGTCTGCCTTTTTCTCTCAACTCAGTATCTCCTCAAAGAACAGCCTCCATTTTTCTCCAGTGCCTCCTAAAACCACCACTTGGGTTCTTAGCAGGCAATATTAGTCTTTTGCTATCAGTAAAATTAAGAAAACCTGCACATATAAAAACTGGGATCATCTGCAGTACTTCATCCACTATGTTGATAACTTGCCATATTGAAATTCATTGGTTTCCATGACATTTCTCCTGGTAGTCTTCCTGCCCCTGTAACAATTCATTTTCCTTCCTCTGTGTACTTCCAAAACTTGTGCTCATCATAGGTTCATCCTTTGCCCGCTGATCTCTTATTTTACTGAATACTAATCTTCTGTAGTCCTAATAGCCTCCTGGCTTTACTTTTCAACCAGATGTGGATGATCCCCTAAATCTCTGTTTTTAACCCACGTTTCTCTCTGGAGTTCTAGACTGCTATTCATCTGACAGCTGGCAGGCACTGTACACTTGGTGACATCTTTCTCTGTCTGACACACCTCTCTCATTTTTTGCTTAGTTGTTGGTACAGCTATTCCCACTGGCGCTCAAGCAGAGCCCCAAAGCCACAGCAATGCCCTCATTATATCCACGTCTCCTTTCCATAACCTACCACATCTGCTTTAACTCAGGCTGCCATGAACTCTCACATGGCTAATTCAGTGATTTTCGGATAGGACTGGCAACTATGGTTTTGTGCTCTTCAGATGGTTTCTCTCTGTTATTAAGATTAATTCCTTGTCTGGGCCTGGAGAGATGGCTTAGTGGTTAAGAACACTGGCTGTTCTTGCAGAAGACTGGGTTCGTATCCCAGCACCCATATGGCAGCTAACAACTGTCGGTAACTCCAGTTCCAAGGGATCCGACAGCCTCTTCTGTGGCATTGCACGGCACAGGTGCACTTACCTACATGCAGGCAATGCACACATACACATAAAAATAGTAAATAAAAATATTTATACACACAGATACATTTTCTACTAAGAACATTGTCTCCATTTTTAAAGCCACCTCCTAAACCTGGCCATTACTAGTTGCAAATAAATGTATGGATCATCACTAGATAATGATCTGTAGAGGAAACAATTATAAAAGAGTCCTTTAATAAAAAAAATGCTACCTTTTCTTCTTTACAGCATTTAATAAGAATTAGTTTCTGGAAAGAGCTGAATTCTGATTTCCAGAAAGCGTTGCTTCCCTCTTCTGGCTCCATTTGCACATATCCTTCCCAGTGTGCCGGGTTAATATAAGTCTCAAAAGATCCTGGAAAGACAATTTAAAAAGATACTTTAGGGGGCTGGAGAGATGGCTCAATGGTTGAGAGCACTGACTGTTCTTGCAGAGGACCTGGGTTCGATTCCCAGCACCCACATGGTGGCTACGAACCGTCCTTAACTCCAGTTCCAGGGGAATCTGACACCCTCTTCTGACCTCTGCGGCATTGCATGGCACGGGTGCATTCACATACATGCAGGCAACACACTCATACACATAAAATAAAAATAATAAAATATTTTTTAAAAGGTTACTTTAGCAGGGTATGGTGGCGCACGCCTTCAATCCCAGCACTTGGGAGGCAGAGGCAGGTGGATCTCTGTGAGTTTGAGTCCAGCCTGGTCTACATAGTGAGTTCCAGGACAGCTGGGGCTGCAAGGAGACCCTGTCTCAAAAAGACAAAAAAAAAAAAAAGTTACTTTAATTCAAGTAGTTTTGACTCAAATTAAATAAATACGTTTAGTAATTAAACAGGAAGACCACTATATTTATTACTAGTTTTAACAACATAAATGCACTACATTAATCTCTACCCTACTCAATCTAATTAGAAAGCAAAGAATTTAAAATTACATCACAAAACAAAAATCCAATACCAAAGATACAAAAAAAAACCCCAACAAAATAATAGCGGTGTTAAGAATAAAGGGGGGCTAAGCGACATTCACCCTTCCATCCCCCGCCTCGCAGTTCTATACTCCTAGTTTGGGCCCTGCGCCATTCCTAGTCTCGGGGCCCCAGACACCTGGGGAACCAATACTGCTTCCTGACCCTTCTCACCCAGAGCAACTCAGTCCCTTTCTTGGGCTCCAGGAGCACCGCTTCTGGTCCTGGCCCCGCCCT